GTGTTATCTCTGACTCCAGCATCAGCAGTTCTTAATATCTCCTTATAGAGGTTATCTCTTTTTGCCTTCAATCACCTCAACACTAACTTGTTGAAGGCTCTGGACTTAGCTGAGGCTTGAAATTACACTGCTAAGATTCTAAATAGAAAGCGAAAGAACTGTGGATTCTAGAAATCAGAAACAAAAACTGAAATTGCTGGAAAAGCTCAGCAGGTCTGGCCACATCTGTGGAGTGAAATCAGAGTTAACGTTTTGGGTCCAGTAACCCTTCCACAGAACCCGACCTGAAATGTTAACTCCGATTTCTCTGCACAGATGCTGCCAGACATACCAGCTGAGCTTTTCCAGCAATTTCTGTTTTTGTTTCTGATTTCTAGCATGTGGAGTTTATAGAATCCTTACAGCGTGGAAGCAGGCCATTCGGCCCATCAATTCCACACTGGCCCTCTGAACAGCATCCCACTCGGACCCACCCCCTCCACCCTCTCTCCCTGCCTTTCCCATGGGTAACTAACTTAGCCTGCATGCCTTTGGCCAGTTCATTGATAATGAACTTCTCTGCCAGACTCCATTATGAATATTGTCTGAGACGTGGATTCATGGAAGTTCCACGTTGCTGGATCTCCATCTCAAAGAGGAGAATTCCACCCTGATTCTTTGGAATGGGATAGGTGTGCACAGAATGAGACATGGGAATTTAAAGCCTGCATTTGCGACGCCCCTCTCGTCGATCAAACCTCAAATCATCCCCCAAATCCTGCATTTGAGCTCCAAGCTGACATCCCCACTGGTTTCACACCCATTGCAAAGCCACAGATAAACAGACACATCCTCCCAAACCTCGGGAGATGTTGCACTTTGCCTAGAGGAATGTGAGTCGCTGGTGAGACATTCAGCAGTTGTGCCATTCAATCACTATTCCAAGAAAGAAGCTGATTAGAAAGCCCTGGATAATATGCCTTGAAGAAAATATTTATTAACTCAATACAAATCTCATTCTTTTCTTCCCAAGTGGCACTGGTAATGTCTCTTATGTAACAGTGCAGCAAGGACTGTTGATTCTAATTTTTTTTTGCAAAGTAAGACATTGTCAATGACTTGAAATGTATGGCTGGTGCCTTGAAGTGACATTGTGATTTATAACATGCTAAAGATGCTACTTTCAATAGAAATTCTAATATCCAATTCCTCTTTTTTTTATCTTCTAGATGAATCGACCCATTCAGGTGAAGCCTGCTGACAGTGAGAGTCGTGGAGGTAGTTGTCACTGATATTTTATTGAGGGGGGAATATCAGTCACTGGGACTTCCTTAATGTTCTAATTAGAGAGCAACTGAAATAAATGTAATGGATTGGGTTGAGTGTGGATTTATATATATTTATCTTCCAGTTGCCCCTCACATTTACCTGGCTCCCCACCCTCTCACCCAACTGCCCTCCAGATGTTGGCTTCATCACTGCTTCCTCTGAGGGAAGAGAAGGTCTTAAAAGTGAATAATGCCACTGACACATCCATTGACCTTATCAGGAACAAGAGCTGGGGCTTGCTGTACCTAAAACCAAGGAGGTTGTTGAGTGAGACCAGTTATAGTACCCATTGCTCTGGCGTAATTGCAGTCAGCTTGTTTAACAATGATTACACCAATTTTGAAATCTTCCTATTGCACATGGTTCAGTACCTCATCATGAGACATATCTACCTTACGAGCCATGGTGTTAAAAAAATTGCTTTTTCATTTATGAAGTGAAATGCTTGCCTGAAATGCATTGTTGATGGTATTGTGGGAATCATGGGTGTGTGTGACATTTCAGCATACCATTAAGATGGCCGTATCTACTGGAGGCTAACTGTTGTGATATGTTATACATATTTCCTAATGATTTTTAATTAAACATAGTCTAAGGTTTCAAACTGCATTTCCCCCAGCGTGAAACATTTTGGGATATTTTTCTAGTCTATATGTATGAATGCAAATTGTTTGTTCAGTTAGAAATTATCATCCTCGATGTTGTAGCGTAGAAAGTGGCCTTTGGTCCACCGTGCCTATGCTGGCTCTTTTTGAATACAGGAACCGGAGTAGGCCATTCAGCTTTTCAAGTCTGCCCCACCATTCAAATCAATCATGGCTGATCAAACATTCCAGTACCACTTACCCATCCCTTCCTCATAACCCTGTCTGCCATCGATAATCAGAAAACTGTCAATTTCTAATTAAACATACTCAAAGACTGAGCTGTCACAGCCGTCTATGGTAGAGAATTCCAAAGATTCACAACCTTGGAGGCAAAAAGAATTTCCCCTCATCTCAGACCTGAGTGGCTTCCGCCTTATCTTTGAATTTTGCCCCCTGGTTCTGGACTTGCTGAGCAGTTGCTCTCTCGTTATTCATACATGGGGAGGTGATGGCCTAGTGGTATTATCGCTGGACTGTGAATTCAGAGATCCAGATAATGTTCTGGGGACTTGGGTTCAAATCCTGCCGTGGCAGATGGTGGAATTTGAATTCAATAAATATCTGGAATTAACAGTCTAACGAAATCCGTGAACCCATTGTTGATTGTCAGGAAAAACCCATTTGGTTCACTAATGTCCTTTAGGGAAGGAAATTGCCATCCTTACCTGGTCTGGCCTACGTATGACTCCAGACCCACAGCAATGTGATTGACTCTTAACTGCCCTCTCGGCAATTAGGGATGGGCAATAAATGCTGCGTAGCCAGTGATACCCTCGTCCCGTGAATGAATATAAAAATGGTCCTTGCCCCACACTCAGTCCTTCCCATTGTCATGATTTTAAAAAAAATCTAGTACAATCCAGTTCTCATTTGGAAGGTACTACTGAATCTACTTCCACCCCCTCCCTGTGCATTTGAAGTATACAAGGAGACTGCAACTTTAATCCAAGCTCAGTATGATGGGCTGGCAGTAAGGATGCTACAAGTGGCTTCACTATGCCAGGGAGGGAGAAAGGGAAACAGTTCTGCCTCCTGCTTAACTTTGCAGTTATCCCAGCTGGAAAAGTGCTGGAGCATGGAGCTAGTGTTCATGACTGGATTGAGTTTGGACTCGGTCATTCGTCAATGGCCAAATAGCTTGGCTACACTCACAATGCAAGTCCATGTTAGAAGGTGGGATGAACTGATATTACATGGTTGATATTAGAAGGTGGGATGAACTGATGTTACATGGTTGATATTAGAATGTGGGATGAACTGATATTACATTGTTGGCATTAGAAGGTGGGATGAACTGATGTTACATGGCTGGTTGTATCATTGGCATAGCATCTTGTGGAAGGCTTTCTCAGAAGTCAATACCCCTTCCTTCACATTCTGATAATGGTTACTTTGGGGAGGAGCTTGGGCGTGTTGTGAGAAGCATTAATATTTATGCCTGCTGTGGTTGCAATGACCATATTAAATGCACAGTTGCATTGTTTAAGACACAATGAGCAATATGGGTGCCTTGTTTTAAAGGCTAAATTGATCTAAAAATCAACAAAGGAACGTTTGAAATTTTTCTTGTCCTACAACACAAATTTGTCAACAGGAACTACTGAGGCAGTTTCATGCTCTTCCAGAAACTGTCAATTCTCATGAAAAATAACGGTGTTACCATGGTCACTTCCTCAAAACTCCTGGAGGAAGTGAAACTAGTGGACCCCAGCAGGGTTGTGGTAAATTGACAGCCAATCTTTCACCTCACATTTAATGTTCTTTCCACTGGCATTCACAGAAGAAAGCTCAGATTCTTTCTGGAGATTTACCTCAGGCAGAATTTTGCAGTGACCCAGCTTGCAGGATTGTAAGCTGGGAGTAGGGGCATGTATGCCAGGATGGTTTTGTTGTTGCTGTCTGTCAGATGTTTTTTGGGGTGAGGTGCTAGCAAGGTTTTGGTGTCCCCTACCTTTGACATAATTGAAACCCTTAAGTGGACAGTTAGTTACCACATAAGGGAGCTTCCTGCCCAACCTCAACTTTGAGGTTGACAGGAGGAGAGCGGGGCAGTGGGAATGCCCGGGAGGTCATCCAGTTCGAGTCTCGGGTGTTAAGAACCCCCTTTCCATCGGAATACACACTGCAAAGGTTATTCCTGCCAACAAAGACTATGATGGCCAATTTTGTGGAGCCAGACTTGCAGATACTGTAAAGTCTAACACAAATCATAATGTTGATAATGTTACAATTTCTAAATTCTGGGAGGGGGGGAGGGGGCTTGCTGAAATGACTGGATACCAGCAGAACAAAATGGGCTGTTGGTAAATTGCCAGCTAAATTTTCACCACAAATGAAATTCCTTCCTCTTAGCGTCTCTATCCAGAACACCCTCTGCTCAGGTCCATGAAGAAGCTTTCCCCATCACTCTTTGGGTGCTGGATTCCAGGCTTTAGAAATGGCGACTGGACTGACACAGCTACCAGATAACCAGGCTTTCTCCAGAGTAAGAGTTAGATGTCCCAGTTAACGCTCTTCTAAGTGGTAAATATCCATGGGGCAGCATTGGGTGGCAGCGCAGGAAACCCCACCAACACGAAAAGAGCTGCCTTCACCTCCCTGTCCCCTCGCCTTGCTTTGAAACTAAAAATCTTGGCGACATTTTGTCCAGGGATGTGCGGGTTAGGTGGGATAGCCATGGTGAAGAAAAATAAAAGCAGGGTTACAAGGATGGGCTGGGTCTGGGTGTGATGTTTTTTGGAGAGTCAGTGCAGACTTGGTGGGCCGAATGGCCTGTTTCTGCAATGTAGGGATTCTATGGCTCTATTCTATGATTTTTCCAAGTCAACTGGAATTAAAAGCTGATGTGGCTAAGAGGTTGCAATTTGGAATGAGCCTGTTTTTCCTGTTGTGGTGTGAGCCAGTCTCACTCCCGTGATTCTGTCCACCCTAGATATCGGTCGTTACTTTACGTGTCGACCTCCTGGCTGTGGTTTGAGATATCTTTGAGGGCTTTGTTCAGGGTGGTGCATGATGTTGTGAGGAACGTTGAGAGGGTGGTGATGAAAAGGCAGGTGAGAGGCGAGAGGCGACCCCTGTGCTGCAACCATGCAACAGTTCGAAGCTTTTATCATCGTGCATGTAACATTTTAATTGCATTTTGCACAGGAGTGACAGGAATTACCTCTCCTTAACCCTGCATTCGACGATCGTCTTTGAATTAACTTGTGAATCATCTGATAGGAGACTCTATTTTCTGCATTATAAAATGTCAGTCTTGTCCAGTCAGATCAAGATGGCAGTGAGTGTGACACTATGTTTTGTTTTAGCACCGATGTGTTGGTGGACAAAACAATTGATGAACAGGTGAAGTATCTGAGGTAGCCAGTCAGGAAACTACAAAGGCTTTTTTCTCCTAAAACATAAATGAGGTTACAATTTGTATTTATCTCCACCAGCAGCAGCATATTTGGTTGTGCGCTGAGCTGTGTTGTGTGGCAGCGGTTACCAGCTGTAAATTAGGGAGGGATAAAAACCCCAGATTGCTTTATTCAGTCATGAGGGATGACAGGACAGGAAAGAATCAAGTCTGACCTTTTCAAATTGACCTTCCACTTCCAATGAGCCATCCTTATCACCGCACTCGCTTTCTTGGCCATCGTTTGATGGGACTGAATCAACCCAGGGCTGCTTTGTTCACAATGTGGTTCTGTGGGGTGCTATTCCCCACCTTTCTCCTTCTCCTGTAGCCTTTGAGCAGCGAGATGATTTATTGTTGCTGAAAGCCCGAGAGGACAAAGTAAATTAGTTTTTTTTTGCTTTGTGAAGTAGAGGCAGGCAAACACAGCTTGAGCCGAGACAGCTTGGGGTCTACAGCAAAGCTTTTATATCTTAAAACCGATAGAGATTTCCTCCTGTCTCTGTCCCAGAGCGACTTCTCCTGTGCTAGACTGCTTGCTGTGTACCGGCCAGCAGCCAGTGCTGTCTGTATCTATACACACAAAGGGAGATTATCAAGTTGGAAAATGTTCTGGGCTGCGTTTCATCAACTCGTCCTTTTGTTTTTGTTTGGCGAACATTTATGTTGTTGATTTGAGGTTTTGTGAATGTCAATGCAAGAAAAGTCTTTGCAGTTTTAAGCTCAGTGGCATTGCTGGGTAATGTGGCACAGCGCTGGAGTAGGACTGTGTGTGATGGAGTGATTCAGCGTGAGACTGAGTTAGGCAGAGAGGGAGACAGAAAAGTGGAGAACCAACGTTTAATTCCATCCTACACTCTCAACTGAAGTCAAACAATCCTCCATGAATTTAACCCAGTCTGAAA